AAGGATTTTTGTCCTGTCTTGAGCTGACAATAGGTTCATGTACCTACTATTAGAACAGAATCCTAACCTGTTTCCTGGCTTTAAGTTTTAAGCAAAGTTCCTTAGTATTTGTTTGATTTATTAAAGCTAAAACTGCTTTTCTTGAAATTAAAAAATACCTATTTTATGACCATAGTAAGTTATATAGCATCAGCTAGGTGCTATCTTATAGTATATTCATTCATGCCTAAAGTCAGACATATATTCACAGTATGTACATACCAGCTGAGTTTGCTATTGAAAGTAGTTAGATTATTTAAGATATTCTGTGAATCAATAAAATGTGGGGGTAAAGGAAAACAACTGTAGACACCTGAGATAGTGTGGGAAGAGGGTGAGAAATGGCAGACGGTCAGAAATAGGGGCTATATATATATATGAAACTAGAAATGAAAAAATATTGACAATAACATGCATGATTAAGCCACTATGCAGTATATTCTGGATGGGAAGTCACATTTTGTATGCTGTGACTATGCTCAGGGAATGAATGTAAATCAATTAATTTTTTAAAAATGTTTCAGAAGAAAATTACAGCATACCTGTAACTAGATTCTATCTTTGTCCATATTTTTAGTTTAAGGTATTTTTTGAATCAATAAAATGTGGAAAATTAAAAAAAAAGAAAAAAGAAAAGTCCAGCAACTAGAGCAGTAGAGGGGTCTGAGATGGAAGCTAGGATGACAGGTTAAAGAAACATACCCCTGGGACCAGCAGTTAGTGTAATGGCTATGTCACTGGACTCCCATGTAGTCCACCGAGGTTCACGTCATAGACTCGGTGACTTAAAACTCACGCCAGGCTCTTGTGCGTGCGTGCCCAAGATCCCAAGAGGAGAATGAAGAAGGGATTGCGGCGTGGCCATCCCCCCTAGGGGGTGATTTCTCGCTTTCTGTCCCTCTCTCTCTGTCTGGCGAGCGCACGCGCCCTATAGCACAAAACCTCTTAAAAAAATAAAAAAGAAAGAAAGAAAAAGAAACATACCCCTTATCTCTTGATTACCACACCCCACCCCCAGGCCCCCATTTTCTCTAGTCCTGGCCCTGGGCCTTTTCTCCCTCTAGTCCTAGTTTCCCAGAAGCTAAATAGCAAAGCCTCACTGAGTCTGACCTATAGACATGGGAACTTTGCAGTCACAGCCATAGGTAACCCTGCCTACTGGCCCAAGAATATGACTTGGGACTCCCTGAGGGACAGGTGGGATCTAGGAAGTGAAACACTGCTCTAGGACCTCAGAAAAGAGAGATCCTGGTGAACCCAAGAAACTTCAGCCAGAGATGTGAGACATGAGAGATAAAGAACAAGCCAAAGCTTCTGCCCTGTGTGTACAGCTTTGAGTGTGACTGTGAGCGGGAAGGTATAGATCATATTTTAATTATATTTTATGTCAGTGACAGCTGCCAACAGCAACAGCTATAAGCCAGTGCTTATAGATTATAGATACTGTATAAAAGTAGAAGAACGAAACATTTAAGTTAATCTCTGGGCATGTGTAAAATGATGGCTAGTATGGCCAAATTTATAAATTGCTTAGCAATGATACCTAAATACCATACCTCAACAGTAAATTATTCTATTTCCTGTATAATGCATGTCAGATTAATTTTGTCGTTAGTTGTCATGTCAACATTGAGATCTGTTTACGTTTCATTAGGTGTGCAGCTACTACCTTGCAGCAAAATTTTAAAGTTCCCCTTCCTCCTCTTGTCTATTAGCCTCTTCTCATTCCCCTCCTCAGTGTTCTGGTTTCCTTTTCTCTTTCCTTTCTCTTCGTTTCCTAGCCCACTCTTATTGCCTCTCTTGTACATTTTCCCCGCCTCCTCATCTGTACTTTCTCTGCAATACATGCCTCCCCTGGATTAGTCATCTTCCTTCTCCTTCTCACTTCTCTGTTTCTCCGCCAGTGTCAGAGTCAGAGTGCTGCAGTTTGGTCCTCTAACCCTGTAAACTTAAGCAAGTTCCCCTTCCTTCTAAGACCGTTTTCTCGGTAAACACAGACAGAGTAACTTATAGGATTGTTAGAAAAACTAACAGTGTTCCTGCTACAAAGTTAGTACTCAATGAAAGATACGTTTTTCTGCCTTAAATGTATTTTTAACCCACCACATGTAGAAAACTTCCAATCAAATTTAGAGCCATCTCCTCTTCTTACTCACATTCAATCATCAAACACTTCTCAGGTGCCTACCCTGTGCCTAATCCAGGCTGGGCATAGGGAGGCGATAATGCATTCCCTGTCCGTCACAAGCCCACCATCTGGCAAAGGAGAGAATAGACACCTAGAAAGACCACTGGGGGACCAGCAGTTAGCGTTATGGCTATGTCGCTGGACTCCCACATAGTCGACCACGGTTCGCATCCCAGACCCGGTGGCTTAAAACTCACGCCGGGCACGTGTGCGTGCATGCCCAAGATCCCAAGAGGAGAATGGAGAAGAATGAATTGCGCCGTGGCCATCCCCCCTGGGGGGTGATTTCTCACTTTCTGTCTCTCTGTCTCTCTCTCTCTGGTGAGCACACACACGCAAAAATAAATAAATTAATAAATAAATAAAAATAAATAAAAAGACCATTGGAATAAGTGCAGGGCTATGTTAGAGGGAGAGATGGAGAACTCTGCAAGTGAAGGGAAGAGAGTCGCCAAGCTTGCATTACAGAGTCAACTAAGATCTCATAGATGGTGATTCTGACTTGAGTCCTTTTGAAAGGAAAAAAAGACTTTGCTAAATAAAACAAGATAGAGATGAGCAACAAGAAGTACCAAGTGTTGAAAAGGGAAGGAAAGGTTTGGGAAACAGTGACAGTCAATAGCCAGATCACTGGGCCATGGGAGGAGTATGGTGTGATGTGGGGCTGGCAAGGTGGAAAAGAGCTGGATTCAGAAAGATGTCATCTTCATCATCATCCTCATCATCCTCATCATCACTACCAATTACAGAACACTTGGCTTTGTGCTGAGTGCTTGACATGTATTATCTCATTTACTTCTCACTAAACTGTGGTTAAGGACTATCATTATCATCGTTCTATAGATGAGGTGACACAGCATAGATATGGTCACAATCCTTTTGATCCTGCAGGTCTCTAAGCAGAATGGCATGATTAGAATCCAGCCCTCTTGTCCACTGTCACTGCTTCCTTATGTTTCTCTATGCTGGTTCATGCTGTCAGAGTCTTTAGGGACATCACTCTCACAGTATGGGCTGGCATGGAAAGAGATGCAGGAACAATGGCAACTGACAAGTGGATCTTTACTCTAGACATTTCCAGAGTTGAGTTGACAGAGTTCACAAATGGTCCATATATTGGGACACAGAAAAGGAGGAATCTGGGGTAACTCAGAGGTTTTTGCTTTGGAGCACCGAGGGAATAGATGCCATCAACTGAGATAACTAAGATCACAATAGCAGAGAAGGGAGAAAAAGCAGAAAGTAAAGAGAAAGGAGCAGGATTTAGGATGAGAGAAGAATAAATGTAGTTTGAATACATTAGGCTTAACATGCCTCTTGATCACTTAAAATCTCTGTGGCATTAACGAGAAAAGACAGATCTGTAGACTCAGCATATAGGGAAGTGTTAAAGTCATGGGAAATGAATGATCTCACCCAGGAAGAGTAAGAATGAAGAGATATGAGGAGAGGACAGATGGTGAGGATGAGTCAGTAATGACAGAGACTTAGGGAATATTCAACCTCAGAAGAAGGGAAGCATTTACTAAAGTGAAAGCCTTCCCTCTTTGCCTCCTCCCTCTAGGCATACAATGCTTGGCACAGGGCGAGTGCTCAACAAACTTTCGCTGAGTACATGAGAGGAGAGGGAAAAGAAAGGTGGCCTCAAAGTAACAAAAGAACATGTTTCCAAAAATATATCTTCAATAATATTTAATATTTGATTATAAATGTATTAATTTTTCATATTTATTATGCTAAAAAGTTACCATTTTCTTTGATACCTTTCCATGTGAAATCCTGAAAATAAATGCTAACTTATAATTCTTATACATGCTATATAAGCATTTAGAATATATACCTAAAGTTATTTTATTTCAAGAAAGCTACTTCTGATTTACTTTTAAATGGTAAGGTTCCCCTCCCCCGATTAAATGAAAATTTCCAATTCATATGAGCAAAATAAAATCCTCCTATGCATAAGAAAGTTCTCCAGGGCACACACATTTTTAAAGATTCATGCATAATGACACAATATATAAAAAAAAAGATACATGAATATAGGGTGAAAAAAATCATATTGAGTTTAAATTTTGTAGTGAAAGCCAACATGGGGCAACATCTGAACAAAAGGGAGTGAGGGGCAGTTTGTGGGCACAGGTGGTAACCCCACATGAAACTATCTATCTACAGTTTATCATTTCCTTTCTAATGAGCCCCAATTAATGTTTTTTGCCAGTTTCCTTTTCCTTCAAAGCAGCTCATTGTTAACCAGGGACCTGAGACACTCTCACGTCTATCAACAGAACAACTAGACAGTTCAATTTTTCTGTACTGAAATCTCAGCACTGAAAGAAAAAAAACCCTTAAGCCTCAAAGTGATAGCTCCGTACAAACTGTGCATGTCCAAAGCATAAATTGACCACAGAATAAGAACTATCTTACATATGTATACCCCCTGAAAAATAATAAAAACCAACCACAATCAATGGAAGAAAGACCCACAAGCCAAGAAGAAATGGATATTTATGCTACTCCCATGGGTCATTTAATAGATGACGCTAACAGAAAAAAAAATTTTTTTGAAAAGAAAATGTAGTATCTCACATCCCCAACTAACTTCCCCCAAAATTATGTGTTAGTAAGAGGAGAAAATAAAAAATACTTGCGCAGTCTCAACCACACAAACGAAACAGCAAAACTAAACACAAATCTGGAAAAAAAAGTCCCAACCAACCCGGAGTTAGCGCTCTACTTAATCTCACTAACTGTTGAAAATTCCCCATCTACTCACCTGGGTCTGGACCTAACCCTCTCCCCCAAAAGGGATATTTCCCCAGCAGTGCAGGAAGATCAAACAGGTATCCATTCAGAGACCATATCAGTGAGAAAAGCAAGGCTGTTCTGAAAGCTCTAGTAATTACATAGAAAACAAAGTGGGTCTCTAGAGAGCGTTCTTGAAAACCTGAGATCAACTACTGGAAAAACACTTGACCACTTACCGCTACAGGAAGCTGCTATTGTAAATGGCAACCAGAATCAGCATTTCATCAGAAAAGAGGAAGACAGTTCAAGAAAGCAGCTTCGCTACTAGTAAGAAATTGGGGTAGAAAAGCACTCCTTGGAAAACTGCTGAGAGCCCTGAAGCCTCACCTACAGTTGCCTGCTACTGCTGCCAGGGCAGAACTGGTTAATCTCTAGGAGAGACAAAAGAAAGCACCCAAGAGACTGATTTCTGGAGGATGGCTTCCTCTGTGGGAATCAAGAATTTAGAAGGATGGATGTCAACAAACAACAGAAGGGGATACCAGCTACCGCATCTACCTACCACTGTTTTGCCAGCCCTAGACTGAGGGAAATAAGCAAACACCTTTGGCAAATATTTCCTCCTGTTTTCCCAGAAATGAGGGAAGTAACAGTGGGTTTTTAAAAAAGTCGTCACAAGGGGAGTTTAGCTCTCTTATGGATAAAGTTAAGCACAATCAAGAAAATTGAATACACAAAGCAATTATGTCTTCTTTCCCAGCACCTTAATTTCAACACAGAGAAAGCCAGCATTAACTCTGAGGATGCTACAGAATAAGTGCACATAGGAAATTGATTTAAGTTTTCTAGTTCACAATTAAAGGGGTGTGGGTTTTTAAGGTGGCATTAATGAAAACAAAATATTTCAGTCTGTGTTTATTTTTAAAGGAAGTATCTGGATCCTTTTAAATATGCCTAAAATCATTTAGGGATTTTTTTCAGAAGTTGTATCAGATTTACCAGTTAAGGACAGGAACTGAACATGCTCTAATCATGTCTCTATAACCACAGCGAGTTGATCCCCTCTGCATTGTCAACTTCACTTTCCTGTAACATCGTCATACTGGGCCCTCAGATCTTCACAGACAGCCTAATAGACAGAAACAGCATTTACCTACCAAGACTTAACAGTATCAAGCAACAAGAGATTTCAGACACAGGAGTGGCGGCTTTCTTTCTTACATGATAAAGAGAACCAAGAACAGCTTAAAGGAGGAAGTGCTCACTTCTTTTACATATGTAAAATGAAAAACACTTTTCAATGAAAAGAAAATTTATAGCCTCTATATCATTTTAAAATCTATTATATTTGACCAACAGTTAGCATAATGGCTATGTCACCGTGGTTCGACTCACACCGGGTGGCTTAAACTCACACTGGGTGCATGTGTGTGCATGCCTAAGATCCGGAGAGGAGAATAGAGGAGAAGAGATTGCAGCGTGGCCATGCCCCCGGTGGGTGATTTCTTGCTTTCTGTCTCTATGTCTTTCTGTTGGGCACATGTGCCCTATTGCAAAAACCTCTCAATAAAACCCCTATTATATTGACAAACATTATAATTTTAGTAATTTCCTTTGTCGGATTAGATACAAGGAAATTAACATTCTCTCCTATAATAGAGTATTTTTTTTTTTGAGAGGTTTTTTTTTTTGCTATAGGGCGCGTGCGCTCGCCAGACAGACAGAAAGAGACAGAGAGACAGAAAGCAGGAAATCACCCCCCAGGGGGGGTGGCCACGCCACAATCCCTTCTCCTCCATTCTCCTCTTGGGATCTTGGGCACGCACGCACACGCGCCCGGCGTGAGTTTAAGCCACCAGGTCCGGGACTCGAACCGCGGTCAACCACGTGGGAGTCCAGCGACATAGCCATTACGCTAACTGCTGGTCCCTCTCTCCTATAGTAGAAATACAAGTTGGTAAAATAGTGTAAAAGGAAACTAAGTTGTACCTATTAAATACATTAGGTCATCAGGAAAGTCATGACATATTTTTCTGTTTTTCTATGTAAAAATGCATCATGACTTTCCTGACAATCTAATAGAAATGTGTATGTTTACATTTCTTAGGAATGTGCCTTACAGATAATCACACACTTGTGAAAATATATCTTCAAACATGTCATTATAGTACTGTCTATAATAACAAAAAGTACTAAAAATGGCTTAAATGTAGGGGACAGCCTAAATAAGTTATCGTACAATCATGCAAAGGAGGACTATGCAACCATCTAGAGAGGGTAGAGTTGGAATAAAGAATCGCATCATCTAGGTTCAAATATGGCTCTACCAGTATTTACACGGGTGACTCTGGGCAAGATCCTAAACCTCTCAGGGTCTCAATTTCTCATCAGTAAAACAAGTAACAATTACAGTACTTTCCTCATAAGATTGCTGTGACTAAAAAAGCAGTTAGTATTCAATAAACAGACGTTATAATAAATTTAAAAGGTAGGCCTCTTCACACTGACACAGAAGAATGTCCAAGATGTATTATGATTAGAAAAGAGCAAGTTGCAGAATTATGTATTGGATAACTTCATTTGCTAAAAGTATTTTACATATGCTTGCTGTTTATTGTCTGTTTCCCCCCACTAAAAAGGCTCACTGAGAGCAGGGACTTTTGATTATAATAAATAGTTTTTGAATGAATGATAAGAGGAGGACTCAATTGGGGCCAGCAGATGATGTAATGGTTATGTCACTGGACTCCTACATATTGACTTCAAGTCCCAGACCCGGTGGCTTAAAACTCATGCCAGGTGCATGTGCGTGCATGCCCCAAATCCCAAGGGAATGCAAGAGAATGAACTGCACCCTTCCCGTTGCGTTGGGGGGGGGGGGGGGATGATTTCTTGCTTTCTATCTGTCTCTCTCTGTCTTCCTAGCAAGTGCACACACCCTACAGCAAAAATCTCTCTTAAAAAAAAAAAAAAAGAGGAGGACTTGGCATAAGAAATTATTCATAGCAGTTACCTCTGAGGAATCAAACAAGAACAAAGGAGCTGGGTCCGGGAGAAATGTTTCGTTGTTCTTACCTTTCTGTACTCCTTGAATATTTTACAGTGAGCTTGCAAACCTTACAATAAAAACGTCTCTTAACAGATAGTGTTTTTGTTTCCAAGGAGCCCCACTAACAGGAGACAGATATCACGGGAGCCACAAATGATTCTCACTGAAAACTGATCAATTAATGAGTCAGAAAAAAATTACACAAGAAGAAAACCACACCGCTCCCTTTTCCTCCTTGGCCTTCCACTAATCCGTCCTACAATCTCCAAGCCCAGTTCTCTGCCTTGGTCCTTCAGGATCCTTCCCTATTATCTAAACAACAACTGCACATCAACCATGGCATTTTGGCTTGGGCAGTCCTCTCTTTCAGGAAGCATTTCCCTTTATCCCCTCTCTTCCCCAATGTGTCAAAAGACAAGCACACAGGTTCCCTCCCTAGAACCCTTTGTGATCACCCAACATCTCTGACCCCTCCTTCCCAGGCCCTGCTGCAGACTAGGTTTGGTATCCACCAGCATACATCTCACGTCTACTACCACCCCTCCTAGTTTAGAGATGTGTGAGGTGAGACTCTAAAAACTATGTCTACACCATTTTATTCATGTGTGCAAATACACACCCACACACACACCAGGCCCTGCACTGGAAAGGAGCAAATGCCACATTAAGGATCTAAGTGTTGAATTTTAAAGGTATCAGGAAAGTGTCATTTGCCCCAAAATGTCTAACACCAGGAAAATGATCATATGCCTTGTCATTATCCCTAAAATTTCAACACTAGAGGTATGTTTCTTTGGCTTACTAAGCATAACCTTTTACTTATTTATTTATTTCCAGAGGGCATGTGTGACCACCAGAAAGAGACAGAGAGAGAGAGAAGGAGAAAGCACCTGCAAGAGAGCATGGTCACGTCACAATCCCTTTTTCTTCATTTCATCGTCCTCTCAGGATTTTGGGCACACACACATATGGAGGTGCCTCAAAGATCTACATATAGAACTACCATTGGAGGGACCAGCCATTAGCGTAATGGCTATGTCACTGGACTCCCATGTAGTTGACCGTAGTTCATGTCCCGGACCCAGTGGCTTAAAACTCACACCGGGCACATGTGCGTGCGTGCCCAAGATCCCGAGAGGAGAATGAAGGAGAAGGGATTGCGGCGTGGCGATCCCCCCTGGGGGGTGATTTCTCACTTTCTGTCTCTCTGTCTCTCTGTCTGTCTGGCGAGCGCACGCGCCCTATAGCAAAAACCTCTCCAAAAAAAAAGAGAACTACCATTTGATCCAGCAATCCCACTTCTGGTTCTGGGTATCTACCCAAAGGACAGGAGAATGCTCAGTTGGAAAAGCCCCTAGAATGTTTTTCAAGATTCCAGGGCTAGGACTTGAACCATGATCAGCCACATGGGATCCAGCTCCCCACCAGACTATGGGGTCAACCCTAAACATACTCTTTAAAAATGCTTCTCAGAGTTTTATATTCTTCTCATAGTTCTACGTTTAAAAGGCTCTAGTTATTTGTGTACTAAGTAGTCTGAACAGATTTAATCATAATATTTTTTCTTTTCCTTTTAAATTTTTATTTATTCATTCATTTATTTTAATTTGACCAGAGAGAGACAGAGAGAGAGAGAGAAGGAAAGTGAGAAAGCAAGCTACCAGGACCAAGACTGGAACCATTGTCAGCTATGTGGGAATGTCCAGTGCCTTAACCACCATGCCACCTGCTGTTCCTCTATCATAATATTTTTTCTAACCAAAGACATTGACAGAACAAGAAATCTTAAAGGGAGAAGAAGGTGGACTAGAAGGCTAAAAGAAGGGGTTATCAGGACCAGCAGGTGGTGTGGTGGTTAAGGCACTGGACACTCCCACTTGGCTGACCATGGTTCGAATCCTGGACCTGGTGGCTTTCTTTCTCACTTTCCCTCTTTCTCTCTCTCTCTCTGTATATCTCTCTGATCAAATTAAAATTTAAAAAATGAATAAAAGTAAATAAATAATTCTTAAAAATAAAAAAGGGGTTACCACACCTACAGTAGGACTATAGGATCCCTATCTTATGTTTATCTCTTACACAGAAATTATCATGTACTTGTATTTCAAAATGAATGAATACTTCTCTCACTCTACTGCCATAACAGT